TTCTATAATTTGGGTAGAATTCCTGGTTGACCTCTCCAACTCTCTACGCATGTTGTTCACAACTGTGCAGAATTTCAGATCTCTAGTCATAAGCATTGTGAAACTGTGACCATTTTTTAAGGCAAAAGTTCCATTCGGCACAACTTGTCCAAGTTAATACCAAAAGTGCCAAAGTGGATTATTTGAATTTTATTTGAATTATTTTTAATTTGACCCTAAAAGAAACACATTTTTACACAAATGTTCCTTCAAGATCTTTTCTAATATTTCACATTTTCAGCTTTCAGAATTTCTAACAGGTTAGAGTGCAGACTTAAGGCCAATTTATGCTTCTGACGCATAGCCTCTGCACAGTCAAATCTGTCTCTGCGCCCCCGCGCAGAGGTTCAGAAACCGTTGTCGCGCACCTCAAAAAAATCCTGACTACATGTCGGGTGGTCGCAAATCTGCGCAGACCTCAAGCGGAAGTGCACAGAAAAAAAAAACAGCTGTGATTGGTCCTTGGTATGCCTTTCCGGCTGTCTGTGCGGTAGCCTTCTCAAGGAACAAAACCGAGGAACAACTACAATAGACAACTACGACAAAAGGTTAATCGAGGAGGTTCAGAAGTACAACCACTTGTACGATGCCTCAGACAAATTATGCCAAGGTCTCTGTCGAAACAAAGTTCTCGTGGCCATCAACCGCGAGTTCTCGAATAGGCTTCACCTTGCACTTTCGCAGAAAACTGCTGTGCGTCCCTAGAAATTCCAGACCGACGGTGCAGAAGCATACCAGCAAAACTGGTTCACCACCAGACCCTAGCGACATTTGATGTGTGCAGTTGCAGAAGTATAATCTGCCCTTTATTCAACCAGGTTACTGCAATTTGAACACAGCTGTGCAGCACGGCTCTTTCAGGATACGTTTCATGGTATCACTGTTGGCTCTGTAATAACCTTTACTTACAAAGCCGAATAGCAGAGTTTTAATTTTCCCCAATAATGGTTGTTAGAAAACATTTTAATACACATTTCTTCCAATAAAAACATATAAAAACGTTCAGTAGAGCCAAGGTGATGCTGGCGAGATCACAGCATGTCTTTTATTAAACCTGGTGTAGGTTCTCAAGTCACTCAGGCGTGGAGTCAGAAACAGGCCTTCATGGTTATTTACTCAACCGTTTTTCTAAGGGGCAATAAACACAGAGTCATATAGGAGCAAAAACACCACAGCTACAAGGTATATAAAAATAAGGGGATATGAAATCTAATATTAAAAGCCAAGGACTTGTGATACCCCTCCACACTATTATCTTTTTTCAAACAGGATAAAAGATTTTAAGTTTTCTGAAGAAAATGCCAACCATCAATTTCCAGTTCATCAAGTGTTTCTTTTCGGTATCTTTTCATTTAGATCTTCTTAAAGCCTGTTTCCATTATCAAGGTATACTGTAGGCAGGTCTTAAGCATTTAAGAATTTGAAATTATTTTATTGAGATGTTGGCAAAAGTTATTTTCTTGGGCAGTATTGAGTGGACTGGTGTAGCACTGTCCCTCCCCTACCTGTTACTACCAGTCAGCTGGCTGAATAAAGGTCTCCTACTGTACATTCTTCCAACACTTTACAGAGAAAACAAACTCAGCTGTTTACAAATATCTTAGTGTGAAGCGCATAGAGGATTTTTTTTTTGTCTGCTAAGAAAAGTTGTCTGTTAAACAGCCTATTCTCAGCCAAGCAGAGCTGATTGTCCAAATAACTTGGATTTATTGTTTTAACTTAAGACCATTTGCATTCTCTTCATTGGCTTCCTGTTAAATCAAGAATAGAATTTAAAATCATCCTTCTCACACATAAAGCCTTAAATGGCCAAGCTCCATCTTATATCAGAGGTATGATTGTTCCCTATATTCCTAACTAACCCTCTCAATCTGCAGATTTACTAGTGGTTCCTAGAATTTCTAAAAGTAGAATGGGAGGCAGATCTTTTAGTTATCAGGCTCCTCTCCTGTGGATTCAACTACCAGTTTTATTCCGTGAGGCAGACACTCTGTCTTCTTTTAAGGGTAGTCTTAAAACCTTACTTTCTGATGAAGCTTATAGTTAGAGTGGCTCAGGTTATCCTGAGCTATATCTATACAGTTATGCTGCTATAGGTTTAGACTTCTGGAGGACATAGGGTCCATTTTTTCATCATTCTGCTTTATACATATTTCTCTATTCTCACACTCTGCAGAATCTGTTAGTTCAATCTCTAATGTTCTGCTCTCTCTGCTTTTTCTCGTAGTAGCTTTGCCTCGTCTGTTACTGTTAGGCTGTGACTCCATCCTGGAGAGAAATATCAGCTGTGCTGCTGCCATCAACACCTTTGCTTATAAATGTTTGAGACTGGCCTCCTTTTCGGTGTAGTCCTGTTTCTCTCTTCATCCTCTGACATGGGAGCTGGCTCGGAGCTTGTCTGCCTGGCTGTGTGTATCCTGGACAGAGCTACCTTTTACAGTTGCCTTTTGTATCTCTGCTTCTTTCTGTATGCCTGCTTCCATCTCCTTGAACCCCAGTCAGCCTTGGTAGATGACCGCTCACCCTGAGCCTGGTTCTGCTGGAGGTTTCTTCCTGTTGAAAGGGAGTTTTTCCTCTCCACTGTCGCTACAAGCATGCTTAGTGTGAGGGATTTCCTTTGACTCAATGAGTCAATGCAATTAACTGGTTTTTCCTTAGATGGAAAAAAATTTAATCAATTTGACTATGATCTGGTTGAATTGTAAAGTGGCTTGAGATGACATGCGCTATACAAATAATCTGAATCGAATTGAATTAAATCTCATAAATACATAATTCTACAATAAAAATCTATTTTTTTTTCCATATTAAAGGGGAATATACCACTGATGATGTTTGCCATTCCCTGAAGACATTTAAAATGAAAGCTCATTTTAAATGCAAATGGAAAATCAAACAAAGTAAAATTGACCTTTAAAACCTGTATAAAACTCCTTTAAGTAAATAGAATTGATTCATGGTTTTATTCAGATCGGTTTTATGACTAAAAATGTTTTCATAAGTTGAATTAAAGAAATTTTAAATAGTAAATCATTTAAACTTTAGACCAACATGGCTTTTAAAAAATAAGCTAAAGGAATTATAATCAACCTCACCTATAACTAAAGCAGGTTAACGTCACTTTGTCAATTAAAATAAATTTTTCCAGACTCTTGACAGATAAATTTAGTATTTCTATATATATCTTTAACATGTTTTCAATCATGTTCAGTCATCATCATGTTCAGTCATCATCAAAATGGTGTATTCTCCTAGGCAAAGCAAAACATTCAACTTACTGTACCAGCTCAGAAGAAGAATAAAAACCTCTGAATTACCTCTAAGCCCCCTTTGCCTTCTTAAGGCAGCACTGATGCTCAAAAGCTCACCCTTATTTAGTTCCTTGTTGACGTAGCCATCTTTTAAACTAGTAAACTAGTGAAGCTCCCGGGATGAGGGTTAAGTGCCTTCTCCGGGTTGGGGAGGATGTACTGCCCCTAGTGGAGGAGTTTAGATATCTTGGGGTCTTGTTCACAATTCAGGGGAAAATGGAGTGGGAGATCTACGGGCGGACTGGTGCGGTGTCTGCTGTGAAGCGTTCACTGTACCGGTCTGTTGTGCTAAAGAGAGAGCTGAGCCAAAAAGCAAAGCTCTCAATTTACCGGTCAGTCTATGTTCCTGCCCTCATCTATGGTCATGAGCTTTGGGTCATGACCGAAAGAACAAGAACTTTGGGTCATGACCCATGAGCTTTGGGTCATGACCGAAAGAACAAGAACAAGCGGCTGAAATTAGTTTTCTCTGTAGTGTGTCTGCGTTCTCCCTTAGAGATAGGGTAAGGAGCTCAGTCATCCATGGAGGATTCAGAGAAGAGCCGCTACTCCTCCAAATCGAGAGGAGCCAACTGAGGTAGCTCAGGCATCTCGCTGATGCCTGCTGGATGCCTCCCTGGTGAGGTGTTCCAGGTATTTCCCACTGAGAGGAGACCTAGGGGCAGACACAGGACACGCTGGAGGGACTATGTTTCTCAGCTGGCCTGGGAACGCATTGGGATTCCACCAGAGGAACTACCAAGTGGCTGGGGAGAGGGATGTCTGGGCCTCCATACTGAAGCTGCTACCCCAGTGACCCGACCCCAGATAAAAGGAAGAAGATGAGTGGATGGATTGATGGCATTTTAAAAATATCTTAGCTACACTTCAACAAACTATTCCTTTTGGTGTAGAATTGTTTTTTCTGTTGGCATCATAACTAGAGGTAAATACTTACAGTATAGATTTCAGACCAAAGTTTATAACACAACTATTTATTTAATACATTTAATCATATTAATACTTTTATCCCTCACCACTACAGACATTCTGTGGAAGTGCTATTTTTGGATACATTTTTTTTTATAAGTTGTAGCTAGGACCTTTAAATGTAAATTTTACTGTGACATTGCTGCTAATAGTGATTAATATGACTGACTTTCATTAAACACATAATGGCTCGATTTCAGGCCCTAACATGTACCTATCAATTAAATTGCAGAAGAATTGAATGAAGACATTTCCGAATTTAGAATTTAAAGTATGGAAAATCTAGACAAATTGAATACATTTAAGGTCTAAAGGTGAGATTATTATACTAAAGTCTCTGTAAGACCAAGCAGAGTCCTGAAACATTCCAAAGGTACAGTATCTTATACTGTGCTAATCTTACATTGTTCCATGTCTTTTACAGAGGGAGAACCAGAACTTTGCAAGGTAATTCCTGTTATAATTAGGAATAAATAAGCAGAAAGACTGAAACTAAAACATATTAAAGGGAAATTACCAATAAAACTATTAATGCCAATAAGAATGAAATAAAAATGTATAAAAATTGAGTGAGAAAGTGAGAGAGGAGCATGGCTTAGCCTCTTTCTGGACAGGCCAAAGGGCAACGATCAATGCAGAGAGGAGGTGGTAGAGGAGTCAAAGGATTTAGGAGATACTCACAGGGAATAGTGCGCAAGTAGAGGTTGTCCCTGATCACCTGCTGGAGCTTATGGTCCAGGGAGCCCTTCTGAAACTGTAGACTGAGGTAGTGACGTAAATCCGTGTTCAACACCTTACCTGGAAAAAGGGACAGAAACATCTGCATCAGTCAACCAAGAAACAAATAAACTCTATATGAAATTGATTCTATAGTCTTTTAAATACTCTAATTAGCTCTGACAACCAGTTTTATCAAGTCTAAAGGTAAACTGAACATAAGATTGGTGGAGTGATGAAAGACATCTTGACATCTCTCGAAACACATTTTTTTTCCACATTTACATAAACCAAGTGGAAGGTATTACTGCCAGCCCAAAATATGGAGATCAATGCTTTTAGTAGCGTTATGACATTGTTAATTTCTTCACATTGTTCTCTCATAAGGCTGCGTCAAAATGCATAATCTAGGTACCAATAAAGGCAACCAAAGACCTGTCAGTTGTGATTGAAGCATAGTTTGAGACCCACTTCTATATTGTGTTTGTTTAAACACAGAAAGGCAGCATTCTCAGTAGTCCTGTCACATTCCTGACAACCTAATATTGTGCATAATCTGGTCTCCTGAGCCAGATGCATTGTTGCACCCCTACTTTTAATGCAAATTGTGTTAACACCTCAGATTCCTGAGAACCTCAGCAGCTGTGCTCAAGCTGCACTCCAGACACTTGAAAAGAAATAGATCTCTTATCTTATTGTCCCCCATGTGAAGCAATGTCAGCCGAATGAGAGGCGGAAGGGGGCAGAGAAAGGTCCCTTGTGTTAGTTGCAGTACGCCACATGTTTGGAATCACTGGGCGTTCAGGAGACGATACTTCCTAAAGGACAGCTGGAAGCACTCTCTCATCAAAGTTGCTTTGCAGAATTTGCCCTTCAGCTCAGTGTGGCAATGACCACAAGGATCTGATAATGTCATCAAACACCACATACCACTTTGACATGGTAGAAAACATTTTTGCTGAAGCCTTTTCTTCAGAATGTTCTTTTATATTTTGTATCTGTCTTTCTTCCATGTTTTTTAAGTTTCAAACATGGATCTAAAATATTGGATCTGGAAAGCTCAAAGCTAATGGATTCTGTCCATCTTTTTCTAGCATTCCTGCCAGATCTTACCGATTGTCTTCAGATTAGGGAAATGTTAAATAATTAAAGCTAGGCGCCAGACTAACAGGAAATAATGACATGCATGCAATGAGGTCTACCAAAGAAATAAAAAGTAGACAAGCTCTCCAATGAGAACATCTGCAGAGATTTAAATAATAATCTTGTCTCTTCATTATAAAAACCAGAGGGACTAGGACAGTGATAACAGGTTGTTCTTCGGTTTGGAAGAAGAAAGAACGACAAAGTCCAACAAAGTACAAGGATGGAAGGAGCTGTGCTGCAAAGTCCTTTATAATCATGTATTGAAAAAATTATAAATACATGAATAATTCCATAAATATTAGGAGAACAGGAACTGGATGCTTACATAAGAAAAGTAACAAAAAACACTATAATAAATTATATTACAGACTTATTTACATCAAGAGAAATCTATAAAAAAAACATCCCTAGCATGTTGATAACCAAAAATGAACTTTTATTTGCTGTTTTTCTATCCAAATATCATACAGATTTTGAGCGAACTTTTAAGATGCTGAGAAAAAAAAGCCAATTAGACATTTTCTTCATCTATTAGAGCGAATTAACCCAGCTACACAAAGCGTAATGTTCTCATATTTTACGCTTCACTGTAGTAAGCAAGGAGTAGATTCTGCATGCAAGCAAAAAGATCAGAAATGGAGCGATGTTTAATCAATAAATTGCAAATTCCAGATGCTCACATTGGAAACAGCTGATCAGACAAGTGAGATAATTGTTTGCCACGTCAGAACTTTTGCAAAATTTTCCATCTCCTCTTTGGCACATTTACTTTTTTTCTGAGAAAGTAAAAAAAAAAAATCCAAGGGAATGCAAAAAATTATTTTTGCGAAATCTAATCAGTTAATTCTGTTTCCAAAAGCATTCACCTGTTTATTGACTTTCTTTTCTACATTTTTGATTAATAGTTGCATGTAAAAACCTACAAATAACAAAAAAAAAATTTTTTTTAATACAATCTATAGTAACTACATGAATAGATAAAAATCTAAAAAAAATGCAATAAATAGTTAAAAAAAGAAGGTTCATTTATATCTGACAGAAACTAAATGAATAAGCCAACAGTAACCTTACAGATGAGTGACGCCTGAGTGTTTCATTAAAACCTTTTTTCTAAAATGTGCTTCACCAGCAGTTGTAGCCGTGTTAACCATATTCAAAAGATGTTGGCACAACCTTTCTCTACTATGACTGCTTTCTCACAGACATATTTTGATGTCACATCTACTGCAAAAGCAAACAACCATTGAATGGATGCTGAAAAAATAGAGCAGACCAATCAGAAGTCTTTGTGGATTTTTAAAACACATTTTCATGATCAAACCGAAACCACTCGTTACTGCAGATCGACTCGCACGTAAACACCAAGTGGGATCTTATTACCATGGAAAAATCTAGATACAGCTGAAATTTTAAAGTGAGAAAGAGGGGGGAAAAAAATCGAACGGCAAAAGAAATAAAATTTCTGAGGCATCTCAAACATTGGACAATTTCCCCTCGGAGACCAACTAAGCTTTTTATGAAATACGTTTCTTAGCAGTAAGGCCCTGCAGCAGAGATTAGGTTTCATGGAAATAAAAAGTTAGAAAATGCTGTAAACTTAATAAATAAATTGCGATTTTATAAGAAAATATAAAAGGCATCCCTGCTGGGAGTGGTTGGAACGAAATGTTTCTCAGAATTCACCCAACAGCTTCCCTCACCTCATTTATGACAGAAACATTTCAGTCTCTTTGCCCAGTAGGTGTAAAAGTCAACTCACCCCTTAGGGGTTTTGAAATGCAGCATACACAAGATCATCTGCTATGCTCAAGTTGAAGTAGTCCACTAATCGGCAATGGTATAAAAAAAAATAAAAAGAGGGGAGAAGAGGCAAAGTGTTCACAGTTATGCAACTCCATGGAGTTTTAAATGGCGCAACAAATTCAAGGAATTTGGGTCAAGGAAACAAAAGCCGGGTCTGGCTATGCATCAACTCTAAAGCCACAAGCCTGTGGTTTATGTTCCCAGAAACTAAAAGAGATCAAAACCCCACAAATTCCTAAACAAGAGCATGTACCTCTTTCCCCATCACTGGCTGTTTTCATGTCTAAGAAGGTGGAAGTCATTATTCCTTCACCAAAGAGACCCCGATTTTTAAAATTGAAGAGATAAGCTGGCTTCAGGGAAGGCGACAATAGAGGTAATTGTCATTAGAGATAAGTCACAGCTAACAGATACCCCACTGATGCAGTAAAATCAATCTTATTCTCATGTACCCTCATTTGAGTGCACACATGAACAAATGCAAATCACCCCTCCTGCCCAAAGTAGACAACTCGAGAGCAGCCAACAGTGTAGTCTTTGTGGCCCGCCTGTCAGGTTGTGTTAGTGCACTGCGTCGTATCTCCAAAGATGGGATAAGAGGAGGGGTAGGGGGCGTCCTGCTACGTTACAAAGCAGCAGATCATCCAACTACGATGTGGACACAAGCACGTGGGACACAATGGAGGTCTTTGTGGTTGGTCATCTGGCTTTGAGCCGCTCTCTCTCCTACAGTCGGGCGAGACGGTGGATAAAAGCAGGGGCAACGGTTCAAGGATAGAGAGTTATTAAAAACGAAGGGAGCAGTGAAGGGCAGGATGGGGGGGTATAGGTTTCAGCACAGAGGAGACATGATGATGCATGGGAACACATGTGGAAACCCACCATGCCTCCCTCTGCTTCCCATTTGATCATTTCTCTATCGCTCCATCACTGACTGCGCCTCTCTTGGTGCTGAGATTAATCAGCCATAACGGACCCCCAAATGCCTCCCAAAACCTAGAGATGAGATAACGCTCTAACTCATACTAAGCTGTCATTGCTGGTCTTTTATAAACTGTAGTCTCCCATAGCTTTTATTTCCATAAATACACATTAGGCTTTGTGCCTCAAACTCCAAATACTGTAAGGTTCAGAAATTAGGAATAAACTGCATTTGTGTTCAAATGCAGCTCGAACTTTCTGTCATAAAAGGAAACCGGAGTGAAAACAGAAAACATGTTGCTGTCCATCATTTTTTTGGCAGCCGACAAACGGTTACTAACTCTCCCATCTGTAATTCTCAGTATATGTCAGAAACTTTCCAAGGTTCTGCAAAAAGTGAATAATTGAGGACAAAATGCAGGGCAGCATTTCAGTGAATACCAGATGGACCAATTCAGTCTGACAGCTTTAAAAGAACAGGCCACAATCAAGTAGATCTCCAAAAAATGAAGAACCACATTTAAGCCGGTGATCTTAATGATACAAAACTAAACTTAAGATGGTATTGTCTGTATGTTTACTACCTCCTGGTCCAAAAATTGGACAAATGGACTAGACACCTAACTAAACGACAATGGAGAAAAGAGATTTTGCAAAACTAATGTTTTCGTATTCTGTACAATGAGAATACACATTATTTGTATAAAAGGGAGCACACAAGCTGTCGTCTTGCTGTGGTGCGATGGAACAAGTCACTGGAGAGCTGTTAATATTGAGAATCATCAGCATAAAAAAACAAAAACAACCCGAATTAAGATGGTGGAGTTTAAAGGTATAAAGGTATAGTGGAGGATGTTACTTTTTTTGCGTGGATCTTCAAAATAAGTGGTCATCCTAATTGTCAATCATTCTGGTAATATGTTTTCCTAAGGCCGTCCTGTGTACTCATCCCCATTTTCACTTACCAGTGTTGAGTCTGACGTAATGGAAAAATTGTAAATCTAATTTTGGAAAGTAAACTTATATGAGCGAAGCAAACAGCAACTTTTTAAACAGAGCGTGCACAAGGAGAAATTGGCTTTTGCATGCTCTGGAACGTGTTTAAAAGGCATTCCCTCTCAGGAGCAAGTACAGGGTTGTGCATGTGCATTCAAGTGGAGAGGGCTGGTCTTTTCAAAAATTCACGAAAATCCTCCACTATACCTTTAAGC